TCTCTCTCTCACTCTCTCTCTTCCTCTTTTTTTTCCCTTTCTCCCTATCTCTCTCTTTCATACTTTCTTTCCTATTCTCCATTTTTCTCACTTTTTTATTTTCATCCCCCTTTTTTTATTTCCTTTTCTCCATCTTTCCATCTCTTTCTCTCTCCATCTCTGTCTCTCTCTCTCTCTCTTTTCCATTTAATTCTCATATAAAAAAAAAAAATTAACTCATTCATTTTTCTTATTAAATTTTCTTCTTTTTTTTTTTTCATCCTCATCCTCAACTTAAATCGTAGACATAATTTATTCTGATCTTTTTGACTTTTATCCTTTTCTCTCTTCACTTTACCTCATTTAACCCTTACGCCACCTGTCCTCTCGCCGCCATTTTTTCGGTTTTTATTTTTCATCTCTCTCTCTCTATCTCTCCCATCTTCCTTTATTCCTTTCCCCCCGTCCCACCTTTTCTTTTTTATTTTAAATTCATGAAAAAAATCTCACCTCTTGTTTTTTTTTTGAAAATATCTATTTTCCTTTAACATTTTTTAAAAAAAAATAATAATAATAATATTTCCCCCCGTGACTTTTCCGTTTTCCTTCATTTTTTCTTTTTTTTTCATTATTTCTTTTTCCCTTTATAAAATCTAATTCCCCCCGTTCAAAAAAAAAAAAAAAAAAATTATACAGATAGATTTTTCTTTTTTCTTTTTTTTTTTTTTTTTGTGAAAAATTAAAATTTGCATTTTTTATAAAATTAATTTTTTTATGTAAATTATTAATTGCCTGGAATTCGAAAAAGGATTTGACAAGTACAAAAAAAAAAAAAAAAAGGGAAAAGAAAACAAAAGGGGAGAGGGGGAAAAAGAGGAGGAGGAGGAAAAAGGTATGAAGTAACGGAAGGTTTTCTTTTTAATCTATTTTTCAACGGCGTTACCGTTGTGATTCAATTAAAACCTTCAATATTAAATCTTTTTACGTGTTAAAATAATAATAATAATAATAATAATAATAATAATAAAATTTTCATTTTTTCAAAGAAGGCGGTGTTTTTTTTTTGTTTTTGTTACTTATTAGTTCTCATTATTTTAAATTTAATTTATAAACGAACGAACGTTGTTAACGTAAAGATCTTAAAACGATTGTTTTGAATTATTTTCCTTTTTTCGTTACACCGTTCGTTATGCGAACGCCATAAAAAAAAAAAAAAACGTTACGAATCGTTAATGTGAAACGTTTTCGCTAACAAATTTTCCTTTTCCCCCTTCCCCTCTCCCTCCCCCGTTCCCCCCTTTTTTTTTAACTATATGCGTGATGAGGGTCGATCCGTTTTAAAAAGATGACGTTAAAATTTTTAATACGTTTGTATAATATCAATTTTAATAAGAGAGAGAGAGAGAGAGAGAGAGAGAGAGAGAGAGAGAAATTTGAGTTCAACATGTGCAAAACATTAATATTAAATATGGTGCCCTATAATTATAATAAAAAAAAAAACAACCCTTATTTGAAAATGGGGATGATGATGTGAGAATGATAATGATGATGACGATAATTAAAAAAAAAAAAAAAAAAAGAGATCCTAACCGAAATCAAGCCAATTTTTTACGCAAATACACACGAGTAAAACTCTCTGCTATCTACCGGAAAACCGGAAATAATCATTAAAACAAAATGGCGCGATAAGCAGGTGTACCAATATATAAAAAAAAAAAATGCACGAATACGACATAATAGAAAAAAAAATTAAATTAATTTGTTAAAGTATATACATATGAAAATTTGACAAAACGTATATGAAAAACTCTTTTTGAGAATAATAATAATAATAATAATAATAATAATAATAATAATAATAATAATAATTTATAACATGAAATTTAAAAAAACAATTCGTCGATTCAATAATACAAAATAATAATTTTTTTAACGTTTTTTTTGTTTTTTTGAAATGTAAAGAGAAACGACGAGAGATATCATTGTGTTCAAAAAGGGATTATTAGATTAATCCCACGTGCGTTTTAAATTCTCCGAGACACGTTAAAAAATAAAATTCGAATTTTTTTTAAAACAAAACAATTTTCGCGGTTTTTTTTTTTTTCTATTACTAAAAATTTTGTTGTTGCACTCTTTAAAAAAAAAAATATTAAATTTAATAAAATTATAGAAAATAATTTAAATTTTTGCGGGTAAAGATCGATTTGTAATCCGATAATCATAAACGATCCCTAGCTAAAGACACGTTCTAAAGACACGTTTAAAAACAAAAAAAAACGGTTAAAAAAATTTTTTTTTTTTTTTTACGCCCTGCACACCTGTCGATACATTTTAGAAAAAAAAAAAAAAAAAAAACTTTAATAAATTATTTTCCGAAGTTTCCTATTACGTAATAAAAAATAATAATGATAATAATAATAGTAACAATAAAAGATACGGAGTAAAGGTTCGCCGCGTGAAAAGAAAATTTATTACGAAATATATTTTCTCTCTCTCTCTCTCTTATTTATCCAATTACAACAACTATTTTTATTTTTTATTTTTTTTTTAAACTCTTTTTATATGTATAAAAAAAAACCTGTTTCGAATTTTTATTTAATAAAAATTCAATAATATTTTTACATGAGAATACAAATTTGCCTTTTTTTTTTTTTATTTAAATGTAAAAATATTAAACGAATAAAAAAAATTTTTTTTTTTTCAAACGCCCCATCAAAAATTATGTAAAATTCAAAATAAAAAAAAAAACGGAAAAAAAATTGAAAAATAAAATGGCGAAAAATTCAAACCGTAAAAAAAAAAAAAAAAAAACGTGGCGTGGTGGATAAACGCGGGTGAGAGAGAGAGAGAGAGAAAGGTTACAAAATAAAAAAAAAATAAAAAAATATATAAATGGCATTATTATACAGGTGGCATAAAAAAAAAAATATGTGTGGTGTGTTTCGACATCGTTACGGTATAAGAAAAGCACAAAAATAAGTTATAAACAAGTAACGAATAAAAAAAAGAAAATGGCGTCATAAATTTTTGACTACTACGTATTACCTTTATCGAACAAAAGAACATTTTTCTGTTTTTTTTTTTTTTTTCTCATATTGATCACGTTCTAACGCAAATTATTACATTGAAATATTTAACGTATAATGAATGTCTCGACTGTAAGCAAACAAGAAATGTTTCCCTCCTTCTCCTTCTGCCCCTCCCACCATTACTTCCGGAGTAAAAAATTGAAAATTGAACCTTTTTTTTTTTCAGGTTACGTAAATGATGAAAATTCATATTAACCCCCAAAAAATAATCAAAGGGTGGACAGAAAGGAAATAAACAAGGTGGAAAAGTAAATAATAACCCGAATCCATTTTGCACGAAAAAAAAAAAAAAAAACATTTAAATGTGGTTTTTAAAACATTCGAAAATACATTTTTAAACTAATAATAATAGATTTAAAAAGTTAGTTTTCCGAAGGAAAAGAGAGAGAAAGAGAGAGAGAGAGAGAGAGAGAGAGAGAGAGAGAGAGAGAGATTTTCCCAGTCGTAATGATAATAAATAACGTTTAACGCGATTTCAAAACAAAAATCTTATTGATAACCTTTTCGCGATTTTAATAAAATAAGGCCCCGAAAATATCATTAACAAAACGTGTAACATTATTATTATTATTATTATTATTTTTTTTTTTTTACGTAAGCCTTTTCGAAAGTGAAAATTTAGGAATTAAATTTCAAGATTTGAATTTGCTTAGTGGTCGTCTCCCTCTTTATCATCAAATGAAAATGTTTGTTAAGCAGAAGATAAAAAAAAAAAAAAAAGGTCCCACGAACGTCGTCTGCTTCTTTTTCCACGTCCCTCCCGTTTGTTATTTTATCCTTCCGAATTTCTTATCGTTTGTTTGTTTTTTTTTTTTGTAATATTTTAGACAAAACAAAACCTTTTTAAAACAATAACACATACACCCAAATGTGGTTAATAATACTAATGATAATGATGATGATGATATAATTAATTTATTTATTATAAAAACCCGACCGTTATGGGATTTACCCAACCGAATTTATTACTCGAACTGACGTTTTTCCCCCTCTTTCTTCGACTCCCCCCCCCCCGAAAACTTTTCAAAATTATTTTTATTTATTATCCGAAAACAACAACAACAACCACAAAAAAAAAAAAAAAACTAAATTGTGCTTAAGTAAAACTTTTTTCAACGAATTTTTTTCTTAAATTACCCGTGACGGAAAAATAATAATAATAATAACAATAATAATAATAACAAAAAAAAAGTTTCATTTTTAGACTCTCTCTCTCTCTCTTTCTCTATTTTTCTTTCTTTTTTTTAACCGTTTGAAAAATTAAATTTATAACGGGGGAAAAAAAACCCGGCAAATTCAAAAATGACCGTAAGTAAAAGTATTTTCTAATTCCACTTTTTTTAAAAAAAATAAAAATAAATAAAAATCGAAATTAAATTCGAATTTTTTAAAAAATTTATCGACTGTTCAGGTGTTTTAAAATTTTCTAATTATTTCTCGTGCGTTTGTTTTTCTAATTTTTTTTTCTATTCTATATTTTCCTATTAATTTGTATTAAAAATTCTTAATACGCAGCATCCCTACATAAAATCACCGAATACGATTCATTCGCCATTTTAAAAATAAATAAAATCCGATTTTTTAACTGCAAATTTTACGAGTTTTTTTTTTTTTTTACGGTAAATCTTAAAAGTATATATAACGTTCGATGAATTAACAACAAAACGTCATCATTTGTTTTTTACCCCTCCTCCCCTTCCCCTTTTGATGTTTTTTAGTCTTTTCTGTTGCCCCGACGACAACAGTCCGAATTCGTTCAAATTAATTATTTTCCCTATGGTAAAAGTCATTGTGTTATTTACTTAACACTTCATTCATACTTTTATTTACTTTTTCGTTTCAATTTTAAATCAATTTCGTTTTTTTTTTTTTTTTCATATACTCCGAAATTATTATTATTAATAAAAAAAAAAAAAAATCGATAATGCCGTACTAATTATGACAACTAAGAAATCGATTTTTTTAAAAATAAAGATACGGGAGTTTGTGGTTTGTTAAAAAAAATTTAAAAATTGACTCACCGTCTGAAATCTCGACTCCAACATGCGTAAATCACTGGATTCATTGACGAATTGATCCATCCCAACCATGTGACAATGGAAGAAACGAGTTCTTCTTGCCAAATGCACTGATTACAAATCCCACTTAATAAATTAACAACGAAAAAAGGTAACCAACAAACGATGAACACTCCCATAACGATCCCCAATGTTTTTGCCGCTTTTTTTTCCTTGGCAAATTTTGCCAATTTTCGCGATACCGAAAAATTTTTGCTAAAGTTTTTCGTCGAAAATTTCGAGCTCGGCATTCGCGAAAGTCCGTTGTGCGGTGGCGATATTTCCACGTCATCCGTACCATCGTCCACGTGTTGATATATTTGATGATTTCCACCGCGGTGCATTCGGAGTGTGAGTTCTAATTCTCCGGATGCCATTAAAACTTGTTTCGTTCCTAATTTTAAACTTCGAGTCTGTTCTGCTGCCGCTCGATATATTCGATAGTACGTAAATACCATTACGAAAAGAGGCAAGTAAAACGATATGGTACTTGAAAACATTAGATATCCAAAATTTTCGGTGAACGGACATGTCAAAGGTGGGGGTTCTTTTACTTGAACCGCTCTCCACCATGCGATGGCTGGAAATGATATTGTTGCCGAACAAACCCATACTCCGGCTATCAGTGCCGCGGCTTTTTTCCGGCTCATTCTCATGGGATATGTAAACGGATCCGTTATGGCCCAGTATCTGTCTAATGAAATGACGCACAAATTCAATATGCTTGCCGTGCTGAACAAAACGTCGAGGGATCGCCAAACGTCGCACCAATCCGTACCGAAATACCAATTGTGAACGAAAACTTCGTGTGTCGCCGAAAAAGGCATGACGACTAATCCTACCAAACAATCGGCAACGGCTAAAGATGTTACAAAATAATTCGTGCTCGTGTGAAGGTATCGTTCTCTCGCAACGGCTAATATTACTAACACGTTTCCGAAAACAGTGGCAACAGAAAAAAGTCCGAGAATTATTCCTAATACGGCACGTTCCTGGGCCATTTTTTCCCAATCCACTTCCGTGTAATTTTTTAACGTTATGTTGCTCCATGTTACGTTTTCTATCTCAGAGCTTTTGTGTATTCCGTTGCTGACGACTTGTATAAGTAAATCTTCCTCCGTTTCCACTAAGTTCCACAGAGAATCATTCATTCCTTAGCTTCTTCCAGCATTTTTTTCCTTGTCACTAAATATCATACGTGTTAAAATCCCAAAGACTTTTTATTTTTCCTCCAAAATTTTTTTTACACCGAACAATATGTTCATACTCTTTTTTTTTCTGCTCTTTACGAATGTTTATGTTAAAATTCGATAAATCCGACAGGTTTATTTTTTGTTTATAACTCCTACAAACAAACAAACAAACAAACAAAAAAAAAATTAGTTTCGTTATAATACCAAAATACAAAAAAAAAAAACGAATTTAAATCGAACAATTGATATAAATTACTTATTAGAAAATTAATAATGCATTCTTTATAACAAATTTCTCATCATATTATTAATCCATTTAAACATTATTTAAATGCTTTTTACGCAACATTATTTATTAATAATAAATAAATAAATAAATAAAAAGAAAAAAATTAATAACAATTAATTATTATTTTTAACGGTTTTATAACAGGATTAATTTACCTATTCGAAAATTTTTATTCGAAAAATAATAGAAAAAATAATAAATTTTAGAAAAAAGAGAGAGAGAGAGAGAGAGAGAGAGAGAGAGGGAGGGAGGAAGGGAGAAACGTGACACTAGACACGAAAACACGTGGTGAGAGGGGGGTGGGGTAGGGAAATCGAAAAACATTTATTATTTTTTACACGATATAAAAATTTTTACAAATTAATACAAATTTACGAATGACTTTTTTCTCTCTCTCTCTCTCTCTCTCTTTTTCTAACATTTATAAAAATTTTTTTTTTACCACGACATTTTTTTTTTTTTTTTTCTAATGATAATTCGAAGAAGACGAAAAAAAAAAGAAAAGAAATTTAAATTTTTAAAAATTCCCCCCCTTTATTTAAAAAACTCTCGAAAAAATTAATACCTTTAAACGGATCGAAAAATTAACGTTTGGGAATTTTTTTTTTTTTTTTTTTTTTTTTTTGGGGGGGGGGGGGGGGGGGAAACGGTTTGATTAAAAATCGAACGTAATTTTTTTGCCCGAACAAAAAAAAGTCATACGGTTTTTAAAGGATTTTTTTTCAAAAAAAAAAAAAAAAAAATGGAAAACCCGATTTTTAAAAAAATTTTGAAAAAAGACAACAAAAAAAAAGGGGATTGTAAATTAAAAAACGGGAAGGAAAAAAAAAAAAAAAAAAAAAAAAATTAGTCGATCCGTTCGTTTTCGGACGACATCAATTTCATTAACGTCGTTCGTTCGAACGTACGTACGACGCTAAAAAAAAAAAAAAATCCGTTATGAATAAAATTTGCGTTTTTTTAAAAAAAAAAATCCTATCACGGTATAAAAAAAAAATAAAATCGGAACAAATATTAAAAAATCAAAAATATATAAATATATATATATGTATATATAGATAATAAAATCCCTTTTCATTTTTTTTCAAAACGTTCCTGTCAGCCATTTTAATATTTATTAAAAATATCACGTTTTTTTCCTCCTTCCCCCTTCCCCTCTCTCCCCCCCCCGTCCTTTCTTCCCACTTTTCAAAAACTTATAACTTCGAAAAAAAAAAAAAAAAAATTAATAAAAAAAAAAAATTTTTTTTGATAAAATAAAATTAAAAAAGAAAAAAAAAAAAAACCTTTGTAAAGTTTATTTATAATCAATATTCTTTTTTGGTATTCATATCTATGACGTAAAATAAATTTATAAAAAAAAAAAAAAAAAAACTTTTTTGTTATTTTAGTTCTCGTAGAGAGAGAGAGAGAGAAAGAGAAAGACAGAGATAAAACTAGAGGAGGGAATGAGATTCATAGAGAAAATAAACGCCTCGAATAAAAGGAAAGAGGGGCGAAAAAAAACGAGAGAAACGCGGGGGAATTTGAAAATCATAGAAAAAATAAACCATTCGAATAACACGAGGGGAATCAAAAGTCATAGAGAAAATAAACGCTTCGAATATATGTATATAAATACATTTTTTTTCTCGTGAAAATATTAATAAAAGGTCAAAAATAAAAAATAATTTAATTTTACGCGGATGATTCGTTTTTCAAACTCTATGAAAATTGAAACTCGTTTGAAAAAACGAACGAACGAATATTTTCCCGTTCGATCAGCGTATTCGTTTTATGCGTATTACGTAAAAATTTTAAATTTTCTTTCTCTCTCTCTCTCTCTCTCTCTCTCACACAAGTTGTTAATTAAACAAATTTTGTTCCGTAAAAACCAAAATCTTACTAGGCTTAAAGACTTTAAAAACCCCCCATTTTAAATCTTTCCTTTATTTATTTACTATTTATCATTTCTCTTTACGTAAAATACATGCAAGTGTATGCGTGTGTGTGTGTGTGTGTGCGTGCGTACGACAGGATTTTAAATACGCTAATTGACCCGATTTTTTTTTTTTTTAGCGAACCTGTCAAAGGTCAAAAATTAAGCGATGCAAACGAATGACGTCACGATATACGACACGGGGTATGACACACATACACACACACGGGTTTCCTTTCTACAGGAAAACCTACTGCTCTATAATTAAAATTAAAAATATTATTATTATTATTTTTTTGAACTTACCTGTATAACTCTATGACGTCGAGAGAGAGAGAGAGAAAATCGAACGATATCTCGTTATTTACTGCATCATTCTCTTAAACATCTATTAAAAAAAAAAATAAAATAACATAAATATAATTTTATTACCCCCAAAACAGTTTTATTATTACTTTATTAATACGTGACGTGAAAATTAATTTGGGGGGGGGAAGGAGAAAAAAGCACAAAAAAATTATTTTTTATTATTTTGTTTATAAAAACATCCGATACGGAGATCATTGTCCGTCGTGAATAATAATCGACAATTAAAATTTATTTCTTGTTTTTTCATATAAATCATCTTTTCCCTACCCTTCCTTACCCCTATCCTCCCACTCCTCCCTCACCTTACCCCGAAAAAAAAAACCGGATGCGAAATTTAAATTTTAATAAAAATAAATAAAACCACACACATTAATTTAATGTCTGTGCATTCGATGGAAATTTATTTATTTATTTTTATTTCCCCACCCCCCCCCCCGTGAAAATAAAATAAAAAAATTTAAATGAAAAAACTCGATACGAAAATTTTTTATGCAAAAAAACGAAAAAAAAAAAAAAAAAAGAAAAAAGTTTTGTTAAAATTAAGTTAAAAACAATAAAGAAAAATAAAAGTTTTGTTAAAAAGAAGAAAAGTTATTACCATTATTATTATTATTATTATTATTATTATTATTATTATTATTATTATTACAACGGTAATATTTTCAAATAATTATAAATTTAAATTTCTTTTCTTTTTTTTTTGGATAAAAAATTCTTGTAATAATAATATTATCTCGCTTCGTTTTCTTTCTTTTTTCTTTCTTTCTTACTATTTTTCTTTTAACGTTTAGAATTTTTTTTTTTTTTATAGAAAGACTATTTCGTATTATCGTGTCATAGAAAAATTAATAAAAATTATTTTTATAGAGAAAGAAACAACGAAAAAATAAAAATTTTTAAAAATAAAGACGTTTAAATGATCACCCCACCCCGAGCGAACGTGTAAGGGCAAAAAAAAAAAATTTTCCTCGTGTCTAAAAGCACGTTTAATTTTTTTTTTTTTTTATATAAAGAAAAAACAATATAATCAACGAATCCCTAAAAAATTTAATAATAATAATAATAATAATGAACTATATAAACAATTGCGATAATTTAAAAAAATAAAAATAAAATAAATATTCAAAATGAAAATTGCGTAATTATTACGGTGTTAAAAACAATTCTTGTTCTCAATAAATACGGTAATAATTACGTAATAAATATATATATATTAATTTTTTACGCCATTGAAAGATAAATAATAATAATAATAATAAAAAGGCGTGCAGGGGGGAGAAAAATGATTAAAAAAAAAATTAAATTAAATTAAAATAAAAAAACCCTAACGAATCGTACGTACGTATAATTTGTGCGAAACCTTTTTTTTTTTTCATTAAAATTTATTTAACGAAACAAAACAAAAACAAAAAGAAACAAAAATGGCGAAATGAAAATGTGAAGAATGATAGAAGGCGGTGATAATGTGGAAAAATAAAAATAATTTTCGTAAAAAAAAAATTTCTCGACGATTCGTAAGAAATTTTGTTTTTTTTTTTTGTTTTCATTTCGTGTAAATAAAATTATTATTATTATTATTATTATTATTATTATTATTATTATTATTATTATTATTATTATTATTTAAATAATATCGAGAATTTTGAATTAATTTAATATTTTAATTTACTTTTTTTTTTTTTTTAAAGAAAAAAATTAAAATTTAACAAAAAAAAAAAAAAAAAAAAAGGAAGCGAAAATTTAATTTTAAGAAATTATTTTTTAAAAAAAAATTTTTTTTAACGTTAATTAACGGGGGGGGGGCATACTAACGCAAAGGTTAAAGTTTTTAAAAAAAAAATTTTTTTTAATTCTAAACAAATTTTAACAAACGAATAATAAAAATAAAATTCGAATAAATTTTTGGAAAAAAAAAAAAAAAAATGAAAACCTTTTCGTGTTTCTAAATAAAGAAACGTGAATCTAAATAAACTTATGTGTATACATATCCGGTTTATTAATAACGGTTAAATAAATAAACGCGTTTATTAATTATATATATATAAATAAATGTTTTTAATAAAATACTTTTTTTTAGTTTTAATAAGCAACGACGACGACGACTTAAACTTTATTCAAATTTACGTTAAAGTTTTTATAAAACCCCTCCCCTCCTCCTCCTCCTCCTCCCACACCGAAAAAAAAGAAAACTTTTCCCAAAGGATTTATAATAAAAAAAATTTTTTTCGTCTGTGTGAATTTTAACAAAAAAAAAAAAAAAGGCAACGCGAAAACCAAAGTTGAAAATTTTTTTTTTTTTTTTTTACAAACAAAACAGTAATAATAATAATAATAATAATAATAATAATAATAATAATAATAATAATAATAATAATTTACCTT